ATTAAAAAAATAATGTTTGGAATTGAATTTAATTAAGACATTAAACTCTCTTCTCATTCTACTCTTTTGGATGTTGTTGAAATCTACAGTTTGATAGTATTTTCAAATATATGTATATAGATGGGATCAATCCCGTCATCCCGTATTTATATGAAGAAAATATTTATTCATTTTCAATTATTACAATATTAAACGACATTAAAATACATTAAACGAAATCTTTTAGAACAACTATGAATAGTCAAATGTAGGATTTTGTAATGAAAAATATATAAATGCCTAGAGAATTATAATTTATTTTATTTGTTGCTTATAAGTGATTTACTTAAAAATGAAAGTGGCGCAAACATTTATACATCTACAATTTATTATGCAGATTTGAGGTTTTATTTGATAGTATAGATAACTTAAGACATATAATAAAAGATAATTATTATTTGATGTGGATATTCGTCCACAAAACGTTTTTAAAAATGTTGTGCTACATTTTGAAGTTTTTAGCATATTTTTTTTATCATTTTATAAAAATAATAAGTTATGTTACAGTTAATAATTCTTAATAATAAACATTTATTAACAATACTATAAGTGAAAGTAGAATTTTTGTTGGGAAAATATAGTTTTTATTTAAATATATTTGACAATCCAACTCTTGTGTTATAAAATTGTTATAACTTTTCTCACATTCTTACATTCACAATAGAATAATATGCTATGGAATTTACTTTAGTGCACTTAAAACTGTGACAGTTTAAGTAGCATTGATTTAATAGAAATGAATGGAGGAACTGTTGTAGAAACACTACGTTTGAAAATAAAATTATACGAATATACCAGCGCGTCCCTTTTAACAAGTTCCCAAGATCTACTCTTGTTATTTGAGGGTCAAGTTAATCGGTAAGTTACACGTGACAAAATTTTATGTCATGTGCATACTGAAAATAATAGAAGTAAGTATTTGTTTTAATGATTTTCAGTGGAACATAAATCCGTAACCCTAGGAATACATCTAGCGAAGCACTAAAATGGAACAAGCCATTTGCTTTTTAAATCGGTTAAATGTTTCTATATCCAAAGACTCAGTTGATGATTTCCGCTTTACATTCTTTACCAAACTTTTATTTTATAATGTAGGTTTGAAAGGATTAAATTGCCGTTTGGGTGTCAATGAAAATGGCAACACAACATATGTCCTTGACGAGACTTGCACTTAGTCGACATGCCTCTATTATCGCTAAAATTTCAACTGTTGGTATTCAGAGCTGTATTTATTCTACCAAAAAATTTTTCATTCAAGATTATTTGCCATTACATAGTCATGAATAGTTCCAGCGATCATATCACAATTTATTCATCGTTAAAGTATATCTGGGATAGCTTATTAGTTGGTGTTTCTCATTTTATATTTTTTCCTTTTTTGATGCTATTAGCTGCTATTTTTACATATTTACATCAACTAAACTGAGCAATGTTTCGTTATTCATTAGATAGTTATCATATGAAATCAATTTAATAGAACAATTTATTAAATTTAAATACTTTAGTAAATGAGAACTTAATTTTGAAATTGGTATTTTTAAATGAAAGAGATTGTACTGCTCTTTACTCAATGTTAACCAAATCAAAAATTTCAAAATGAAAATCGTAGCAACAATTGACAAGATATAACAACGATTGAAGACTACTATATATAGTAGTTGTCAAAATCAACTACTCAGATTTCGTCATAATAATCATAAATAGAAGTTTATAAAAAATTAAACGTAAACGTAAATAAGTAAATCTTAAGTCGTTTGATAAAAAAATATATTGGTGTTTGCAATAGCTAATGCTTAAACCTTATCTATAAAAATATAGGAAGAAAGAAGATGGAAACCTAAAACTTATAGGAAAACCGATAAGTAAAGCGATAATTTAAAAACGAACAAAATGATGTCATGCTCTTTCAACAGCAAAAGACTGGAAGAAGAAAAATATCTCTGTGATTCTTTTTCGCTTATTTATTACACCAATACCTCAGATACCAATACCTGTAGTTAAAATTCCATAAGCAATTACTACCCACAACCTATAAATACTTAAGCATAAGAGTATTTCGCTCATATTGATATAACATCGAACAATATAATTCGTCCTTGCTTCCTTACAAATATCAGAACACCAAATCCATTTATTTACTCTTCCCGAATCTTACCCTTCCAACATAAAAATAGGTTTTACATCAATTCTTCAACTTTTAGCACTAGATTTAACAACTAGATTGTAATATTTAATAAGAAACTGTTATTGAGGCCAAAAAATACTGACACTATTTTAGAGTTAGTTTTGGAATTGTGCACAAATAGGTGCTGGTTGTCTCACACAAGCTGTTCTGTCTGTTCCTCTCCAGATTTTATATATCCGTACATTTAGAAATTTAACAACGTTTTTAAGGGCAATAATATATTATCTTTCTTGCCCTTTCTGTCTATGATTTTACCTTCCAAATGTTTGCAATTTTGCTATTAAATAACAGAAAAATATGTTCGCGCCCACTAAGCCCTCCAACCAAGCTGTCGCCAATGTTAATGAAATAAGTAAATTTTGTTTAATTCTAAAAAAATTTACATAGAAAAGTAGTTAAAATAAAAACAAAAGCATTACGACATAATAAGGAAAACTTTTCTCTCAAAAAAATTTTCACTGAAACACAGAAGTTGCAGCGACTCAATGTCATTCTTTTAGAACTCTTAAAGGATATGCGTCGTTGGGTTGTCCAATAATTACAAGAATAAATGCTTAACGGTTTGTGAAAAGGGTTGGATACATTTCTTTAAATGGAATAATTTTTATTTTGTGTTCCTCTAACGGAACGTTGGACATATTTAAAATGGTCACAAAATAAATGAGCTGCGGAAATGGTGGTGACAGAGGAAATTAGTTGAATTTGTTAACCGGAAAACGAGTCCCACAGGTGTTGTCAGCAACTGAGTAGTGAGAATAAAGTCAAGTAGAAGATTGGAAAAAGTATTGTAATTTATATTATAATTAAATAATTTAGTAAATAGAACATACAAAACGCTTGGATTAAATTGAAAAAAATATTGAATATTGCGATATTGTTTAGCGTTACTTGCAGATGGGTAAAATTATGTGTTAGCAAACGGATGTCATTCGCGTAGTTGTGATATACATCATAATATATTGTGCGCTTAAAATCATCATTTCACACAAATGTGCAGTAGACATTTCGTCTGCGTACAGTGTTTTTCTAAACCGTCCTTTTCCTTTTCCCTTACTGTTTCCAGTTCAGCTTCCCTGAATCAAATGATAATAGGAGTTGTTTTCCCTATTCTCAATTTCCTTATTCTGAATTAAGGAATGGAATAGGAATGGGAGTTTTTTTCCCAATTTTGCACAAAATTTCTCCCAAACAAATTGTGTGGGAGATAAGTTAAAAAAGTGTTAAAAAGAATTTAATTTAATGTAAGTATGTAACTAATAATAATCAGATTTTTGTATATATTTTAATAAAATTATTACTATAGCAAAATTATTATAATAAATTTAATATATTTAATTTATTTTTTATTAGTTTTTCGAATATACTTTAATAAAATTATTATTATAATAAATTATTATTATAAATAATAATAATATTATTATTATTATTATAAAATTATTATAACAAATTTTATATATTGAAATTTTTATGTATTTATTTTACCTACACGGGTTTTTCCCACAAATTAATTTTGGTTAATGTCACTAATTAAATAAGAAAAGTGACAAAAAACCTGGAACTAGAGCACTGAAAGTTTGTGTAGCCTTGACTAGTTGTGGAAACAAAAGGATTAGTTGTGGCTTCTAATTTGTCAGGTACGAGTTCTAAGCCTGGCACTTGCAGTCCAAACAAATTTTATACGGACTCTAAACTAATAAAGAAATTCTATTATGACGATGAGTATTGTCAAGTAATACTCGAAACAGCGGTGAGTGGTCAAATTACAATAAAATTAAATAAATGTTTGTGTTTGTCCATTCTTTCTTTGTTATTCGAAAACCTCCTGAATTTAAAAAAAAATAGCTTCTTTGTCATTATAAAGAAGGCGTAGCTTTTTCGGTAACACTCATAAAAACTTTAAATGTTAACTATAGTTATTTAAAAAACAATATAATATTGAAAGGAACCCAAATTCTACAATGAATGGGATTCTTTGAATAAGTTAAAATAATCTTTTGTAATTCTACACAGGTATTCAAGCAAAATTTTTTCTTGTACCATCTACGTACATCCTAAGCTATTATTACAGTTTGGTAATTGAAGGACATTTTTATCCTTTTTATTAAAATAATTATTGGCTTTTGAAAATCGAGAAACTCAAAATTCAAAACATTAATAATTCCAAATAATAATTAAATTTTATTACTTTGTTTTTAAGAAAAAAACTAATTTTGTACTTAAATAATAAATAAAAAACAATTAATTAAAATAAAAAATAATCAAGTAAAATAAAAAATAATTAAAATAAATGAAACAAAAATTTTTAATTATTTAATTAAAAGTATTCATTATAAATAAATAAAATAAAAGTTTTTAATCATTTTGTGACCCAGATTTTTCCCGATCTTTACATAATATTATGAAAGAAATTATTCCATAAATTAAAGTATTAAAACATATCAAATATTTAAAACAATGACATTAAGATCTTTCTTTAACACGGATTTTGCCACAAACTAAAGGATCAGTTCTAAACAATACTTAGGTAAACAAATGAAAAGGAATTTGCGGATGATTAAATAATGGCGACAGTCAAGGTTATGTTATATAAAAAAAGGAATGTATACCTGCAGGAAAAACCCAAGCAAATTAAGAAATAACATTAATTATGTAAAATTTAGTATTTAAGAAATGAGATTATACAAAATAAAGTCAGTTGAACTTTCATTATAAACACGTGAAGTTGATTTTTATTTAAATATACTATTAAATAAGAAAAAGAAAGAAAAATATTAAAATGTGTAAATTTACTGATCATATTGATATTGTGTCCCCCATTTTCGAAGATGATGACTCCGAGGAGGAGGAGGAGGAGACTCTGGAGTTAAATAGAAAGAATGCTTTGCATTACTGGTTTTGGAAATTATTCCAGCGATTTATTAAAGTTATATATGATGAGGATAAGGATGAAACTCCATATGATCAAGAAGGAAGCTACGATGTCGTCATTGATGAAGAAGCCGATCAAATTTATCATGTTTCTCTCTCTCCTGAGGACAGCCAATACGAGGATCGATTAATTGAAGGCACATATGAAGAGGATGATGAAGAGGACTATGATGAGAGTGATGAAGAGGACTATGATGAGAGTGATGAAGAGGACTATGATGAGAGTGATGAAGAGTATAATGAAGAAGACTATGATGAGAATGAGACAGAGGATGACGAAAAGGATAATGAATACCTTAATACTCCTTGTGAACAAGAAGGTGGCAACCAAGGAGATGGCTACAATGTCGCCATTGGTGGTGAAACTGATCGAATTTATAATTTTGCCCTCTCTGCCGATGACTGCCAAGACGAAGAGTTAAACAAAAAGATTATTATTTGGTTTGAGATATTATTCCGTCGAGATATTGAAGAGATGATTAATTCATGTTTAGGTGTAAATTACGATATTTCCATGTTTGTTCCCTATGAACAAGGAGATGACCATGATGAGCTAATGAACAGCTTGAATCTCGTCATTGATGAAATACTCTACACTAATAATCAACTTAGTAATATCTACCTCAGTTCTGATGACACTGAAAACGAGGACTTCTCCAAAAAGGTTGCTATTTGGTTATGGCATTTATTCCGTCGTGATATTGAACAATATGTTAGAGAAAATGGCTACCATCACGCTACTCAATAAAAAAGTTTAATTCAAGATATTTCCAACTTTTCTGATGACTACTCAGATGTTCCTTATGAAAAATAACCATGGCGCTAATGAACAAGAAGTTTCGTACAATCTCGACATTGATGAAACACTCTAACCCCCGTCTAAATAAAAAAACGCAACAATCTCCTCGAAAAAAATTATATGTTATATGTACTAATTATTCAAAAAAAAAAAACACGCAATTTTTCTTGATATTTTCTTTATCATTTATTCGGATGTATATTAATTTTAACTTATTAAACATATAAAAATATGTCTATTCACTTAATTGTCTCTTGTCCGACTTTTTACTGTTTTTATAATTTATTCATATGTACGTCCAGTTTAACTTATTAAAGTTTTTCTTTATGCAAAATATTGTAAAATAATTTTGAAAACTATTAAATTAAATCTTAACTTTTACACTTGATTGTTGTTTGTACGCAAGAAATCTATTAACTTAAAAAAAACCAATAAAAATAAAAATATAAAATATATATAATATATCTTTTTTTATTTAAAAATATTTATTGTTATTATTTTATTGTTTTATCTGGACTTTTATAATCTGCAATTTTATAATTAAGAAGAATTTGTCTCCTACTACTGTTTGAATTATTATGATAGTCGTAGTCGTTGGTCGGCTCCTGATTTTTCCGAACCAAATCATATGAGTGTTGTATTTGATATTTTAGAATCTTAGAAAAATAATCTTGGTTAATCTTGGTGGGTTTTCTTTTTAGTGTCACTGGAGTATCAAATTCCAAAAAGTATTTTAGATGGTGTCTTCTTAGTCGCAGAATGTACTGTGTTGTTATGTGCATGCATCGCATGATACCAAATTCCAATTTTACAAAACTTCTCCAGAATTCCGCTAAAAGACGATGACTTCTTTCCAAAAAAAACCATTTGCTTGTGGATGATATGGAGTAGCTTGTATCCTTTTTTTAATAAGAATTTTACAAATTTCTTTGAATAATTTGAATGTGAAGTTTGTCCCATTTTCTTTCACTAGAACTAAAATTTTGAAATGATTTCATTAAAGAAGCTTCCATATCCGGTAGTGCTGTACATATAAAGCATTTTGAAAAATCATCATGAAAAGTTAGCATTAGCTTATTTCCGATTTCTGTAATAGGTAACGGACCCACAATATCCATGTGAGTCGAATGGTCTTTGAGGGGTATCTGTCTACATCATTGGCATTTTCTCTACCCTTGAGCTCTTAATTTTCTGGCACTGCTGACATGCTCTGATGTAGTTCTGTTTTTCTTTGCATGCCTGCTCTTTTAAACTACTTTCGTATTCGGCAACATCTTTTAACAGACCCTTGATGTTCTTCGATGGGTGAGTCATTACATTTCTTTAGCACTTCCTGGATGTCTCTGTTATTAGTTAGAAACACTGCATAATCATCTTTTCTCTTCTACTTCCTCTTTGTTATTTTATCCGTGTTTTTATTTGTCTTTCCTGGCTTGTAAAAAATTTCAATATCGTGTCTTGGTTTTTTGGTCTTAATGGCTGGCTTATAGTCAGTAAATATATTATAATGTCTTCCCACTAAATAAAATCTAAAATTTGTAATTACCCAAACTAGAAATTTATTATTACCATATATCACGATATTTACAGTAACATTTGCGAATGTTGCTATTCTCGTAGTTTTTGTTCTATATAGTTAGAAGAATAATTCGATATTACTGAAAGAAGGCTTATTTGGGAGTATGACGCCACTCTATCTTACTTATCTTACTCTATCTCAATTATCTAGCTTTACTAGCATTATTACTTCAGATAGTGAATGTGATAATCCATTGAATGTGATAATCTTTTACTCTTATAAAAGAGTTGAAAAGTTGTATCAAGTATTCTTTCAAAAGAATAATTTGTGCCTAATTTTTCAGGTAAACCAATACCTTAGTTTGAAGTCACAGTTTTTCAGACTAAAATTTAAGCGATGATGAGCTAAATCGGCTAGCAGACACTAGTCTCATTTGGGTTCTTGAACATGGAAGGAACATGGAAGAGAATACAAAAACTAACAGGTTTCTACGCTTTGGTGCTTCTTACTATGTTTCTCTAGGGACACTGATTTATGTTCCGCTGAAGATCCTTAACAGAAATATTACCTCTATTTTCTTAAGCTTGACTTCCTCCATGTTACATAAGATGTGTATAGGAACGCACACAGAGAAACTACGCATTCCTTTTAATACTCATTGTAGAAATTGTGGAAACAATAAACAGTTAAGAATTTTCTCTGTAAATGCTCAGCTTTGGATTGTAAAAGCCAAAGTTTTATAGAAGTAGTATTTTGACTGTCAAAATATCCGACTAAATGTAAATTAAATTAACTAAATTCGACAAGATAGATTAAGTTTATCATATCATATCTCTTTTCATATCATAAGGATATATGCTTGAAATGTTAAAATAAAACGGCAAAAAACCGCTAATCATGGTCAATAGAAAGTAATCTACCGACCTACCACTGTCACTGCAACCAACTAATTAACGAACACTTTAGTTACTTATATAACTGGGACCATTGCTCCTTTGGAGTTCTCTCGACTTATCCCATGTACATGCGCATTTTATATATGTGTAACAAAATGTTGAACTTGGAAATCTTAAAATCTAATACAATAGGTTCTATTAGCTGTCTGTATTTATTCTTCTGACTATATATCTAGAACTATAAATAGGAATATGTAGTTTCTGTTAGTTTACAGCTATATTCATTATTTAAAATAATACAGGTTATTCCCTTTGTGACACAAATATTCATGAAGGATAAGAGTAAAGCAATATCCAACATCTCTTTCATAAAAATGTTCATGAATTTTAAGTATCTTTTACTATATTAACGCATTACAATTCTCACTTCTTTCGCCACTGGAGATAATGATTTGCCAATATTGTCAACGATGGTACCAGTCCAATAGAACGCGCTAATAACCTCATTTTGCTAGTTTGTAAGTGGTATACCACGAAGCTTATGTTTCGCCCTCCCTCCGCACTAATAGACAACATTGTTTCAACATTTAAATTTGCATAATCAAAATAAAAATCAAACTCATCATTTTTATCCGCTTACAATATTTCAAGTGAACCATCCATATCGCTACGGTACTCTGGTGCACAGTTTTGAATCTAACAAATTTGAGTTCCAGCTACGCCCATCAAAATGTCGTAAACCGAAAATGAGACGTAGTGTGGCACTTAACCTTTACAAATCCTCGAATGCGCTTTACAATTCAAATGAAATTATGCAAATTCGATTTACAGGCACTTTTAAGTGCGGCAACAACAACATCAACAATAACAACAACATCAACAATAACAACGTTAACAACAACAATTATAATAATCACAAGACAACAACAGCATTTGAAAAACAGTAGCAGTGCGTCAATGTCGTGTTGACAACCTTGTAGCGAAGCATACACCGGATGAATGAATGAGGGGTGGGAGTACACAGAGCACGAATATATGCACGAAAATATAAGTAAGCATATTATTATAATTGTTGGCGGCTGGTGTTGAAATCCAATTTGTTATTGTTATTGTTGTTGCTTTTGTTGTTTTTATTGTAACAACAACACAAGGCGCTTTCAATGCTGCTGACAAACCAGCACTACCACACTTTTGACGATTTCACCAAATTAACTTCACAGTCTTTTTCGTTGTTTTCCTTTGCTCTGCTTAGCTGCTTTCAAAATTACTTCGGCATTGTTCCTGTTCATTTCCTCATCTTATTTATGCATTCATAAAACTGGAGCAAAAGCAAGCAACAACAAAAACAACAGCCAATATTAAATACATATGAAATTTTTTAAATTATTTTGCCTGATTTTGGGGGATGGCTTTGCAGTTGTACTTTTAAGCCAAATGAACAGCACACTTTTTGCGGTTATGAAAATATGCTTAAGGGCACTTTTGACAGTTTTTAAAAGCGCAAAATAATAATTAAATAATATTATATTTAAGTTAAGGGGAAATATGTATTTAATAATTTTATTTATATTTCAAAATCTTTAAATTATTTAAACCTTAAACGACCTTATACTATTTATGGCCATTTTAAAGATAATAATATATAAAACTAAGTTGAGTTATTGTTTGATTCTATTATATATAGTATAATAATTGTATTGTAATAATTACTTTTATAAAGTGGTCTATACTCAGATATATATTTTTATTATTACTTGTGCTTTTTCATAAATTTCGACAAATGGATTTTGAAAAACTATCAAATTCAAACTTATGTTTGGCTTTGGTGGTAAGAGAACTTTAGTTAATTTTGTCCAAGTAACCTTTAAAATCCGTTAAACTAGATACGAAATTATGAAGGAAACTTTTAAAATTAACCTTCATCTTTAACAAAAGAGATTACTTATTTAGATCTATATTAGAGATGTCTTCAACGCTTATAGATTTGTAAGCTTGCATAGTGGCACACCTTAAATTCACCAGGTCATAGCATTTCCAGGTCAAAAGTCTAATGACGTTTCTTTTCTTTTTTACTCACTGAATTTTTTGCAGATCTGGTTACAGAAAAAGTCCAATTTTTCAAGATTGATATCTATCGATCAACAGCCTGTAAACCAACCGTCTATCAAAATTACTAGGAGTATTACTACGTTACTGCTAATCGTAATGATCGTTGTTTAATTGCACCTTGGGTTTACTTGAAAATTTTACAACTACCTTAGTTTACGTTTTTAGTTGCTAATTTTTAGAAATGGTTCTCAAAATATTCTTAAACACCTTTCAATAAGATCCAGTGTAGTTTCTAATCTAGCAAAATTATCATTTATTTTTTATATATATTATACATATACGATAATCCCTCTATAACGCGGTACATTGGTTCCGCGTCATAGGAAAACGCGTAATAGGGATATTCCCGTATACACACATGCAAAGGTATGCAAAGCTAATTATGAACTGTACAAATCCCCGTGTTATACGGAGGATTGAAATCG